GCGTAACTATTTTTTGATCATCATTTAACTCAAAATCAATTTATAGTCTCGGAACCCACTTTTAATAGCAAAGCTCCTATATACTCTCAGAGTATTCTCCGTAACTTGCGAAATTATTCTAATCAATCATTTCTTCTAGAACCACCATGGTCACACCGAAAAAACAAAAGATCAAGACGCGTATGTGCACTCCTTGCTTTATTTCCCTTTATTCTTTTTTATAGAGACCAATCTCTTTCGATTATGTTAGATGGTTCCGCTACCCTCTTCGCAGGAAAAGGAAGTCCTATTGGCCTTGATAATTTTAGTGAGATTTTGAATTGAGGATACACTATAATTGACAAGACGCTCTTAATCGCCGAATTCATTGATTGCGTTGCAATAGTTTCTCTCGTCGTTCGACCAAGATGATTTGGAAAAACAATTAATCTCACGATGCTTAGAGATTTTTTTTCGATTCCCATCTACCCTGATAATGAGAATTACCGTCGCGAGCTTTTTAAATACACAAGAATTATGGAGAGATCGGATCTTTTGGATAAACATTTTTGCAAGTATCCAGTAATCTTTCTCTCTCTCAAGGTATGTTGTTATTTACGCCTAGACTGCTACTGTGAACTGTTTTGTTGATCGGTTTATTTTTTTACATTTCCTTTGCCAGGGTTTTGATGGTTGTGAAACTTGGTCGGCGATGCAGGCACAACTATGTCAGCAGTTGGCAACACTTTATGAAGAACACAAATATGTTTATGAAAAACTTAGCTATAGCCCGCTAAATGCGTCACGCTTTGATCAAATATATTCTGGTGTTCTAAAAGATGGTATCACTAACAACGCCCTTTTATACCTCTCCAAGTATTTGAAGGACTATCACAGGAGCAAGTGCATTGTACTGATTGATGAGTACGACCATCCTATTGACGTTGCTTACCGATATAAATATTACGAAGAAGCTCGTGGGTTTTTAGCTTCTTTATTTAGAGCGTTACTCAAGGTAAGCACTTATTTTAGACTGTCTTCATAGAATCGTGCAAATAATGACCTAACACATGATTGGACTGACCAATGCAGAGCAATGACGAAAATTTGGAAAAAGCGCTTCTTGTCGGCATGTCTCGCGTTGCTAAGTCAGGATATCTATCAGGGCTTAACAATATGCAAGTGTTCCCAATGCACGACCAAGAATATGCTGACAAATTCGGTTTCACTGAAGAAGAGGTTTTCATCATTCTTCAACATTACAATAAGTCCTAGGTGGAAATGATCAAAGATTGGTATGATGGTTATATGGCTTCGAATGGGAGAATTCATCTATACAATCCTTGGTCGATCAATAAATTTATTAGTACAAATAATTTGGAGGCGCACTGGGTAGATATAGGTAAGGGTTTGTCCTGTTAGAATTCACTATTATATAACAGACCCCAAATTATTTTTATAACATGGTTTCTTGAAATGTAACAGGATGCACCACAACTATCAAGAAATTACTTTGGCACTCAACTGAAGACTTTAGAAAAAAGACATTAACCTTACTTCAAAAAGGTGCTATCAATGTAGAGATTTTGAAAGACATTGATTACTTAACACTATCTCCTCATGCAAGTGATGTTTTATGGACTTTACTCTACTATGAAGGCTATCTTACTATGAACAAAGAAAAAAAACTATGCATCCCAAACACGGAAGTTTTCACAGAATGGAAAGGATGGTTAAATAATAGAATTTCATCTAATCCAGATACAATGCTGGAGATGCTTTTGCAATGCCATCTCACGAAATTTGAGGAGGAACTTCCAACGATGATAATGGAATCTCTTTTGTATTTTGATACTACAGATAACTCAACGGAAAGTAATTATCATTGGCTTATGGTTGGCATACTTTCACCAGTACGATATCATAATTATGAATTTTTGTCAAATAGAGAGGCTGGTGTAGGACGCTTTGATGTTAGGATTTCACTAAACACAAAAAATGTAATTTATCCAGTATCGATAATTATGGAATTCAAGGTATGCAAGAAGAATAAAAAGAATAAAGACGGTGATGAATATGAATATGTTGATGAATCCAGTGAAGAAGAAATCAAATATGGAAATGAAGATGAGATAGAGCATGAGCTTCGGAAGAAATCTGAAGAGGCATTAGCACAGATAATAGAGAAAAAATACCGCACTGGTATAAGAACTACGAAATTGGTTGAGTGCGGAATTGCTTTTCAGGGAAAGCGTGCATATGTATTGAGTAGAGTTCTTCGTAAGGAGAGAGATCAGTGGGTAGAGGACGAAAAAAAGGCTAAATAATCATTATTTTTAACGATCATACTGTACGAATGTAAAATAATATATATTTTTTTTATTACATGAACATTATATAATAAAAATAATGTCTATACCTTGCATATTGTCATATTTATTATGCTATTGTCTGTTTACATGCACTGGAAAATAAAGTTACCATAAGTTTGCCCATATTCCATATTTCCGGCTTCCAAATTTTTAAATATGTATACAGTGTATTATCTGGTTACAAATTTCTGAGGACCTTACTAACGCAAACAACAATAAATTTTCAGCGGGACTTTACTGCATTTCTCGTACAGTATAACACATGTTCTAGAATATCAACGATAGGTAAAATCGATTATGAGCTATTATTAGGATCATGTGTTAGTATAGATAGGCAAACGAAAATCTTCTGCAGACATTGGAAAAATAAAAAATGTTTATATGCCGGCATAATGGCGTTTGCCCTTTTGCAAGGATGTCAATAACTACAGATCGAAATTTTCTCTTGAATTATTCTGTTTGACAAAAAAAACGTTCCCTCGGGGGAACGATCAGAATTACACAAAATTTTCCGTTTATGACATTTTGTCACGTTTACCCCAGCATAAGTAAAAACAGATCAATCACCTGAAAAATGCGCTGAATGAATAGGGGCTGTGCATGAAAGATAGTGTCGAAGTTGGTGACTCTCCAGATAGTAAGAGAGCAAGGATAAAAAAAAACTATATTAAAGAATGATTGGGTAGTCCAGTACCATTAGCAGCTGTTTCGCAAATAAAAAAAATTTTAACGCTACATAACCAGTCATGATTTATCTCCATATACTATTATTTTTTGATGCTCACATGGTAATTTCAGAATTAGGATCAGCAAATTAATAAACATTAGGATTGCCATATTTGTTTCAGGGACTTTCATGTTTTGCGATGATCATAGCGATTAATTGCGGAAGAATTTTTTATATAAAAGCTGGGTGAATCGGAGGTGTTTTGGTAAGAGAATCAAATAAAAAATAATATATATTAATTTTGCAAACGCATAATCAAATACAAATAAAGAATCAAAGCCTTTGCCTGCTCCAAATAAAACCAAAAATCTTTTACGCATAATCAATCATAAATATCGCAAATCGAAAAATAAAGTTTTGCATATTCAAACCAATCTCTCATCTATCTTCATAAAATGCTTTCAAACTCTGATATGTTTTTGATCATACTCTAATTATGCTAACCTAACAATAGAGATACTTCAAGACATTTTCACAGGGGATGCTATAATGTATATAATCTTTGCGGGGTCATATTATTTTTACTATTTTTACACAAATATCTGTCTCAAATTCCAACCCCAGAAAAATCACAAGTCACCAAACTCGAAAAATTGATATTGGCTTTAAATAATGAAATACAAAAAATAAAAGAAAAGACGGAATGGGACTGTGTATCATAAGGTAAGAAATATTCTGATCTCCTTAGTTGTCTTTACATATGTCCTTAAAGGTAAAGAAGTACTAACTCTTTATTATCTATCACCAGGTTCATTTCGATTCTCTTCTAACCGTGTATCTACCAGCCAATACTCAGGATATTCTGACAAAGTTCAAACTTTATAGGTAGAATTTATAGCCTTATTTAATCAAAAATGAAAATGGAAAGGATGCTTACACACACAATTGTATAATATAATTTCTCAAGAAATACATCTAAGCTTTACGACTTTAACAAGTTTCTATCATCAAAAAACACTGAAGACTACTTTCTTAGATAAAATCAAAGAAAGAGTTAATAGAGAAGAAAGAAAGAATTCTAGTAATAGTAGTAGTAGTAGTAATAATAGTAGTAGTAATAGCAATAGTGATAATGATAAAAATTAGGGAGCCAAAGAAAAGAAGCAGTCATTGTCTTTTGAGACAGGCTTTGGGTTTGATTACAAGTGTTTTAGTATATCAAAATTTTGTCTATAGTATCTATCTAACATTTAGAGTGTGTTTTCCTATGCAGCTTCATAAAAATTTATTTTATTTATTTTATTTTTTATATTATATGAAAAAATACTTTATTCATTATGAAAAATTTTACAAATTATAAAAGCATATTTTAATATCTCCCTTGAAACTCTTGAAACTATGCTTCTGCAGGACTTAATACAATCATATTATTAAAATTGTCTTTTTTCTTTTGGAAAAATCTTTGATCAAAAAAAAGAGTAATTCTTTTTACTTGAAATCTTGATTAAGAGGATTTTAAGCCTTATTTTCCTTATTCACAGTAGATACTAAATCTGAAATTTAAATACAGTGTAATATTTTGTAGATTTATGATTTTTGTAATATGTATTGCACTATTTAATATAAGCAATAAGTACATACTTTATATCTTTTATTGATTTATATATATTTTTAGCTTTTAAGAGATGTCAATTTTAAAATGAAAGTGTTAAATTACTGTGTTAAAAATTATAATTCAAAATCATATGCACATGTTAAACATTAAATATATTTAATTCAGCATAAATTTTAATTAAATTCCTATATTAAAAATATATAACTAGGGATGATAATCTTCTGCTTTAAGCAGAAACCCACAGATTTAGCAGATTTATGAAAATTAACAGATTATTACAGATTTTTAAAAAACTGTGTTTCATATACTAATCATATTAAATCTTTTTTTGAAGTTTATTAATTTTTTTATATGTTTTTTGTGTTTAAAATGTTAAAAAAAGTGACTTACACTATGGTCAAATGAAAGGAATTTTTTAATGTATACTAATATTTTAAATAAAAATTGTTAAAATCTTTCTGAAAAAATAAATATAATGTATTTTAATGTGAATTAATTTTAAAAAAATTTTATAATAAAAAAAATCAGATTTTAAAAAATGATGTAAAAAATTGCAATGATAAAATAATAATTATAAGGGTTATCAAAACATTGCAATTTTAGGCAGATTTTATAAAATATCATTGCAAGAGATCATCATATATATAGCATTAAGTAGTATTAAATATCATTAAATTTTAATACATCATATTACATGCAAATTTTAGACGTGTTAATTAAATAATACTATAATTTATAAGAACGTATTTTAAAAAAATAATACTGTATTTTATACTTTTTTTCACTTTTTGCATTATCTTTAATAATAACCTTGTATTTTCTTTCTTTTCAAATTGTTCTTTTTTTTTTCATTCAATATGAATGCTAGGTATTGTATTCTTATTATTTAATACTTTTATTACAAATCTATAAATCTATAAAAATTATTACAATTTTAAAATGCCTTACGTTAATAAATATCCTTATATCAAACAATTCAGCACTAAACAAATGAATTTTTTGACAATTTATGATTAATACATTATGACATTTGAATATATAAAATATGATAGAAACTACATAGACAAATACGAATACAATTATCTATTTAACTTAACAGTATTAGTTCTTTTTGAAGACTATAATGACTATGCCGAAAAATATAAAAATAAAATTTAAATTTTATATTATTAATTGAGTAGTGAGACTTAGTTTATACCAAATATCAGCTGGAGACTCAAGGTTACAAAAATTTATTTTTTTTATTTTATTTTTATTTTATTTTTATATTATTATATATATAAATATATATTTATATTTAATTGAGTAGCAAGGTTCAATTCATATCTAATATCAGTTGGAGACTTAAATTTTAAAAATTCTTCTTTTTATTTTATTTTTATATTTATATTTTTTTTTATTTATTTAATTGAGTAGCAAGACCCAATTCATATCAAATATCGGCTGAAGACTCAAGATTTTGAAAATCATCATTTTTTTTAAATTCATTTTATTTTATTTTTTTATATATTTATTTATTTATAATTAATTAATTGGAGTAGTAAGATCCAGTTTGTATCAAATATCGGTTGGAGACTCAAGTTTTCACAATTTCTTTTTTTTTATTATTTTTATTATTTTTATATTTTTTTTATTTATTTAATTGAGTAGTATGGCCTAATTCATATCAAAGATCAGCTGAAGTCTTCAACTTTTTTAAAAAATAATTTGTATATAATATGCATTATATAGTATTAATAAAAATTATTACTTTTATATGAATATATCATTAATTCGTATATAAGTGAATTAGAATTACTGAATATTATAAATATTTAGCCTGCACATTAATCATTATATATAATTAAACTTATACCTAAAACTCTAAAATCAATAAGATCTAAAAATCAATATTTAAAGTATTTCATTGTATTGAATATAAAACAAGTTGTGTAAGTTTGTGATAATAAGATTTTTTATAAATTTAGACAAATTATTTCGATCAATATGTATTTGCGATATCAGATTTTAGTTTCTTTTTCTATAAATTAAAAATTTGTAAATATTTAAAAAATAAATATAAAATTATAAATAAACTTATTGAATTAGTAAATAAAAATCTGGCTCTGTATTTAATAGATTTTTTTAAAATATAATCAATAATCATAGTAAGGTTATTTAGTATTAGGTAAATCAACTGAAATAGGAATCTTTTATATTATATCATCTATTATTTCTTGTTAATTATTTTTTGCACAAAATCTTTGAAGTTCAATTCTATTATTTTCACAAAAATTAAATTAAATAATTTTAATTGATAATAATACTCATCACCCTAACAAGTTAATAGAAGTATATTGTAAAAAATACTTTTTTATAAGAGTATCTGAAGTTGATATTAAAGTTGTAAGATTTGATAAAATATCTGCAATATTTTGTTGAATTAAAGCTGCAGATTGTTTTACTTTACTATCTTGAAGTATTTTTATTTTACTATCAAGAATTCTTGTTAAAACAGAAAATTGATGACATTTTGTAAATTTATTTCATAAATTATTGAAATTTCATTAAATATCAATTAATTTCATCAACAGCTTGTCTTATTATTAATGCTTTATACTGTATTTAGTTTTATCCTTCTTTTTCATATAGCAATATAACCTGTTACTTGATTTTCTAATATAAACATGTTCAAAATAAGATACAATTGTATTTTATATTGCTTTTCTTATAAAGAAGAATCAACTATATCTTTTCAAAATTTTTCAAAATATGGTAACCAATTTTTTGTTACTTTTTTTGTATTTTGAATATGTATGTGATTTTTTTGATAAAATGAAATTGCTTTTTCAATTTCTCTATTTTTAAATATTTTAGGTTGTAAATATGGATTATTTAAAAGTTTACAAGTAATATTAAATTTATGCATTGTTATTTGATTTCATTTTAATTTTTATGAGAAAGAAAAAAAATTTTTTAAAAATAATTATTAATAGATAGTTTAATTAATTGTTAACTTTATATATAATATATGATTCAATTATTATGTAATATATAGGCAATATTAGAGGTTCTGGGACAGTTCTCAAATCTGTCTATATACCCAGTTTGCTATTCGATTTCCACTATCAAATTCAAACCTCTAACACATTTTAACTCAATTCTAGATGATATTATCGAACTTGGCTAGGAATTAGCCTG